GCTACGGGTTCAACCTAGGCTACCCTCTGAGGATAAATTGTTCGCTCGCAAAAACGCGCCTTCTGCAATCGCTTTCGAACTAGTGTCGAGAATAGGTGAGTCAGACAGCCAGGAAATAAAGAGAACATGACGGATGAAAGGGTGAAGGACGCAGAATATTCGTCGTAAGCAATGGGTTTGAAATGGATGCAAAAAAGTTGCAAACCACGAGCTTGAAATGCATCAATGCTTCGCAAGGCCCGTGCATTGAGCAAGAAACCCGGTGCAAACAATTTGCCGCAATCAAATGTTTTAGTTTGGCGCTGCACTGGCACTGGGGTGTGTTCCCGAATTCGTTCAAAGGTAAGCTCAGCAAACCAACTTAACTCCCTCGTGTGGATTTTCATGCATTTTCGGGGGTCTCCGGAAACCATCGGAAGCCTTAGTTCGCACCAACAAGCGCAACGGCCACCGTGTGCATCTCTGCTTTTGGATTCCCTGCGGCCAGAAGCGCTGCATCATCAGCATCAACCAATGGCTGATCATGTCATCAGGGCGGCCATTGGGATCCATGCTTCGCAAATCAGCAGTCGCAAAACGGTCATCACGCATGAGAACAAGAAACAAGAAAAATTACAACCGGGCCGTGTGCGCGTAGAAAATTGCCGTTTCGGGGGACGAAACCGGAAAACTGACGTTAGTTAGGGATGAGGGTTCCTACGGCTGACATGAATTAACTGTAAACGCTAGCGCGCGCCCGCCTCGGCTGGCGGGGCTTCCCAATGTAGGAACGTGTAGTTATAGATATACAGGTATGTAAATTAGGTATATAGGTACAGTCATATGCCTATTACATACGCAACAAAACCTTAGAAGTCCAATTTGGGACGCGCAAGTAGGACCCAAGAAGCTGGTGGGGAAAATGTTTGGGGTTAGCGTTCGGACCTTGGGTTGAGGGTTCCGTCTTGCGGGTTGACAAGCGTTCCTAGGGTCTGGGGATTTAGGGTTTAAGGTTTATGGATTAGGGTTTTAGCGCTTGGGGTTTGAGGCCCCAGGGTCTAGAGACAAGGGGATTGGGTTTGCCGTTTTGGACTGGTCGTTCGGCACATAGACGTCCAGATCGGTGAAACATCCAAAAAAAAATCGATGTACGAGTTTACCAATTCCCAGGGTAGATTGCCTTCGGTCCAAAATCGTATAGGGGACGGATGCGCCAAGATAAAATCCAGGGGCTTGTGCCCCAAAATTTATCTTCATATAGGTTTTTATTTTTGGTGCCCTGGGCATGGGCTGCTGGATTTTATCCTACTCGTACGGGGGGCGGGGAGGAAGTGACGAGTCCAAAATTCGAGTGCTGTGCATGTGTGCTCAAGGGGGTCAGACCCATAGGATTTTATTTCGGGACATGTGGTGCCGAATTGAGAGGGTGTCGACGTCTATAGAATAATAGGATATGAATATATATATATCCAGTATGTAAATTGATCTACGGGATCAAGGTTTGTTGCCTCTGAATGGGTGAGCCAAGAATCACGAGCAGGTACCGGACAATTTTGTTCATCAACCCCAATTTCCCATCTAGGAATTCTAGGATATCTAGAGGACAATCTTGTTCATGAATACCATGTTCCAGCTAGGGCAAGGCACGTAATGTCAAACTGTCTGCTCCCTTACTTGTAGTACTCTCCCTGATCTGCAAGAGATCACGCGTGGGCCATGTCTGATACAGATAATGGTGTCGAGAGCGTGTCTGGATGGGCAAGCATGCTGCAGAAGAATTCTTTGTCAGAGAGTTCGCTGGAAGTGCTGGTGCGTGGGGACCGCGCAGTGTGCAGCTGTGGTACGCACTGCTTCTGCGCCCTTTTTCATGAATTCCGAGACGGTGCATGCAGCAAACCTTCCTGGGCGGACTTGGTGGTTCAAAAAGCTGGCCAAAAGGGATACGGTCTCTTCTGCAGACACGCCATCAAGAGAGGCAGGGCTTTGCGTGTCCGTTGGATCCGTTGGGCATTGCAGTATTCCACCATTTTGAGCATTCTGAGTGTATGGCAAAGATTCCTGCCAACCTATACCCAAGAAAATCAAGAAATCTCAGAAAGTCCTGAGCCTTTTCGTGAGTAGAGCGTGTAGGATTTGCAAACGGAATCGATTGCGTGCAGCCTGGATAGTGTGTAGCCTGTTTCAAGGGGGCCGGGCAGTGGCAGGTTCCTTCATCACTGAGTTCTTGGGAGAACTCGTTGTGGGTGATGGCAGCCATGGATGGTACGCAGTGCAGTTGAAGAGCGTCCCGAAAATGTCACTGGATGCAGGCCGACCAAAATCTGTACAGTATACACATGTTGTGCCTTGATTTGCCCGCTCCTTTGCATGCGTCCGCTAGGCAAGCGTGGTAACAGAGCCCGCTTCATCAACCATGCGTGCGAGCCCAATTCCAAGCTCGTGGAGTGGCTCAGCGTGGAGAAATATGGTTCGGAGTCGGTCTTGATCCCGCATGTGGCTGCAGCGAGTCTGCAAGTGTGATTGCTGCGCGTTCTATATGACTATTATGACTATTATTACTATTGGATTTATTGGCTAATTTGTGGTTTTTGCGGTGGCGCCCGTCTGAGGTTATCTCCATGCAGGATATCAAAGCTGGGGAAGAGATCTCAGTCGACTATGAGGATTGTCCGCGTGTGCGTGCAAGTATGATAAGTCTGCCAATTTTATCATTCCTCGTGTAGATGATGCAGGCTGGCCCAACGTTGAGGAAACATGATTCTATGGCGTCCCGATGCCTTTGCGGAAGTTCTTTGGAATGTCCTCCGCCAGCTGCGAAGCCTGTTTGCAATTTGAAAGCGTCCAGGTGACTTAGATATCTTAGATTGGCTGCGGATTAGTTCCCCCTAGCCGAGCTGCGGCCAGCTAAGGAGCTTGTGCACCATGCGATCATGCCGGGCTTCGAAGCCGGAAATGGCCTACTGGAGCAGCAAAGGTGGAGCTTGGGTAGTGACGTGCGCCCAAAACGAGGTGCACAAAAGCGTGTATCTGGATGGGCTGTGGAGAGGTCATGGGTGCACCAGGGGCCTTGCGAAGGCCAGGAGACGTAGATGATATAGGTGGTTAGTTGATTTGGGTAGATTTGGATGATTTGGGTGTCCGAAGGGACTGGCAATTTTGTCCTGCCCCGTTGGTAATAGCCTCACGCCACCGTCCTAATAATCTAACACTCCCCAAAACGGTATAATCGTAGAGCAGGGAAGGAGGTCTGAAAATTAGGAGGGTCCAGGGATGTCCAGGGAGTTTAGTTTCGCGGGAGGGGGATTAATGAACGCTCTCATTGGTCCGGATGTGGACCCCTGGCACAGGCCTTGGATCGTGTTCGGCAGCATCGCGTCAAGGCATGCGAGGATGTTGTGCAACCACCAGAAGTTCCAGAGCACCCAGAACTCTCAGCACAGATCGAGGAGGCTGCTGCAGGGTTTAGGCTTCTTGCGACATGCTCCCAATCTCCTTCTCTCACTCATCTCTCTCTCTGTCTCTGTGTGTGTCTGTATACTAGACAAGATAGACATGGTACACCCCCCCGCCGCTTTCAGGATATGGAGGCTATTTCTCGTGGCCTCGATGCTCAGGAGCGCTTTCCGGAGTATCTGAACGTAGAGGGTTTGCTGCGTTGGCCGCGCAGGAGAAGACCGACCATGTGGACATGATGGACCCGCCTCCGCTTCCTCCGCCAATGATGCCACCCCATGATCAGACTGATCCGAGGCCAGCCCAGATGTTCATGATGTTCATGATTCATGTTCCGGTTGGCATGTCCCAGTGTATGTAGCCTCGCTGACCGGCTGTACCAGTAGGCCCAGTAGAGATAGTAGAATGATAGTAGAGCTACACTGCCACACCTTCCAAAATCCAGAGCTTTCTCGAGGGATCTCACGGTGATTGGAACAAGTTTGGGGGGACCGCCCTATCCCATTAGAAGCCTTCTCGCTCACTTGTGTGACAGGCCGGAGCTCGCGGGGCCGTTGGCGCAGGCCGGGCCTGCAGAAGCATGTATGGTCATGATTTTTGTGGCTTGTGTGGGTTGATGCATAGTGATGTGGCTTGGGAAGGAGGGCCGTGCTGATTCCATGATTGATGCATCTGGCGCCGGAGCCACTGGCCTGAATTATGCATTGTTTGATCAGGTTGCGCTGTGCAAGATGATGTCAATTTTCTGCAAGTCTGTGTGATCTGCGTGCCTACAGGCAAACCAAGCCTGCCAGCTGCGCAGTGTCAAGCGCGACCGCAGTTCCGAGGCGGCCGTTGTAGGTTTGCGCATTGAACATATTGAACTCCGTCCTTGTGTTGACGCTTGATACACTTGTTTGTATTGTCTCCTCTGCCACTATGGCTCTAGAAGCTGGACCTGCGCTGAGTGTACGTGTGAAGCTTGGTGGATTTCCCTTTCAGACACCATGCTGGCAGTGCTGCCTCTCCTGATGATGGCTCTGATTGATGCAGCGCAGGGAGCTGGTGATGATACGTTCACTGTGGTGGATGAGAAGGGATGGTTTGATCCTGGCGAGAATGCGGCAGCTGTGCATGAGTTCTTGGAGACCTGGGCAGGTAGGTGATGCAGATGCAAGTTCAGTAATTTAGAATAAGTAGAAAAGGTCTTCTCTATTGCGCGCAAGGCTCTGGAGCTTCTAGCTGGCTTTGGAGTAGCTGGTTTTCGATGCACCGAAAATCATTTTTCCTGTTGAGCTGGCCCAACAGGAAAAATGAAATTCTGTTCCATCCATGTTCGGCTGTGCCTACGCAGGACGACAGCGATACCATGCCATAGAGCTCTTCGGCCTCTCACGGCGCGTTCAACGCTGCTTTGAGCGACGAGGATTCCTGGCGGCCAGCCTTGACATACGTTTGGGCCGGGGTGATGATCCCGAGCAAGACATCCTTTCGCGCCGGGGGTGGTTCAATTATCTGGACCACCTCATGCAGATGCTCCTCGTTTGCAAGTTCAGCTTCACGTGCATTACTGCCAGAGCTGTCTGTCACATGTGTTGTGTTTGTTCGCGCCTCTCTTCTTCTAGAGAGTGTGGAAAGATCAGATACGCTGTTTTCTTGCTCAAGAAACATTTGATTGCGTCTGGCCCCACTCCCTGACACATCTGCTTTGGCATCGCGTTCAATGACATCCATGACCTTCAGCAAGGAGCCAGCCCCACTGCTTGAAGTGTCCAGCGACGAGGAGTCTGCTAGGTCATGTGCCTCCTGCATCAGCGTTCGCAGTAGCGTGGCATGCGTGACACCTCCCATGAAACGGCAGAGGACGTCCGAGAATCCTGATTCAGCCAAGACCATATATCATGATGTCATGACAGCCCCCTCGCCTACATCTCCAGCGTCCCAGACTTCAATCCCTACCTGGCCGTTTCCTCCGCAGACCCCCACCAAGGGCAGCTGCAGCCGGGTCCTGTTGCTGCATGATTTGTATAGGATGTCTCCTCCCAAGCAAGCGCAACATGCAAAGACATCTCAATCAGCTCAATCGGCCATGGAGATTGTGAAAATTAGGATGACCACGCAGGAGAACCTGAAGCAGGGGCTTGAGACTGGCCTTCTATGCCAGGACGATCCAGATAGTCCTGATGAACATCATGCGTTGGTTGCACATGGGTCACCGACTGTCTCCTTGAGCCCTCATTGGTCATGCATGTCGTGGGTCAGCCTGGGTGACCAACGTCCTGGAAAATCTGGGCAGGACAAGATGATCAACGAGGATGACGCGGTGCGTGGGGAGATGGGCAAGCGGGGTGAGATGCTGGAGATGCCAAAGGCTGAATCTCAAAGGTCTCCAAATTCTTTGGAGATGTGCGGCAGCTTAAGTTCGCTGACGGCAGTCCGCAGTAGGAATAGATGGAATAGTGACTAGTGGAAGATATAGGAGGATTAGAAGGATTGTAAGGATGCACGGGCTTTGGGTCGGCATGGCAGGCATGGATCCTTTCGGGGTAGCACTGAGACTCTGCGCTGCCAATGAAGAAAAGGCTGAAAGGGGTCGAGAGGGCTCGCTGTGTCTAGCCTGTCTGCCCAGCTTGCCTTTGCGTCCCATGCTGATCATGCTGATCCTGAGGCTACCTGGCGCTTTGCTGGTGGCAGGTCCTCCTTGCTCACTCTTCGTCTACATGGCCGTAGGGACTCACCTGCGGAGCCTCTACGGGATGTATGGGGACACCTCATTGAGGTCAGTCCGGATGGCCAATGCAATCGCCCGGAACTTCGCAACCCGGCTCTGCTTCATCTGCGCTGTCTTGCCGTAGCTGTCTGGGTGATGTGTGTTGATAGATCCGGTAGTGCTGAATTCTCCTTTCCTTGCTAAGGTTGCCTTATTGGAGTGGGCAAACACCAAGCGGAAGGTCTTCCACGTTATTGAGCAGCCAAGCTCAAGCGCCATGTTCAACTTGCCATTCTTTCACAGCTTGATGCATAGCTTGTCTTTGACAATGGTGACTACATGGCTCGGCCTATTCGGCCATGATCTTCTCAAATGCACACACTTGCTCCTGACGCTCCCATGTGCCGCTGGGAGTCTTGCTTGCATTTACCTGGCACAGTTAGAGCAGGGTCTCGAGACACGAAGATGGACTCCTCCGTGTGGATGCATATATGACACTTGGTTCTGATATTTCCTGAGGCTCGCGAGGACTATGACCAAAGCGCATCGTGAGAGGCATGCATTGAGGATGGAGAAGAAGAATGCCAAGGCGATCGCTCAGGGCAAGAAGGTCAAGGTTTACTACAAGTAACCTGGCCGCTTTGGTCCCCTACATGCACGTCGAGCTACAAGTAGATCAAGTAGGTAATGTTTCGAACGAGAGCGTGTCATGCCTGTGCGTTCTTCGCTTGTTTGATCCTTCTGCGTCTTCTGCTGCTTTGCTCAGGAAGGATGCCCAGGGCCGCGTGTCAGGGGGACCAGATCTAGCAAGCAGCGCTGCTTATCCCGCTGCCTTTTGCACGAAGCTATTCCAGTTGTGGCTTCCATGCTTTCAGAAAGTCTTGAAGGAGATGAGGGAGGAGAACGCTTCCTCCACTCAATGTCCGCCGTTGTCTGATGTGGGGGACAGGGACACTGCCAATGCGTGAGGCGCTGGCAGCTGGCACTGAGGTCAGTGAGTGATCTCGCCGAATGATCCAAGCGATCAAGCATTTTAGGATGTTTAATGTGATGATCTGTGATGTGGCTGGTTCTAGTGCGCGCCGAGCGCGTGCTCAGACAGCTCACGGAGGCAGAAGGACTTCGTGCCTCTAGGGACTCTAGGGGAATGCGTGGGTCTGTGAGGCAAAGGGATCAAAGGGGAAGATTGCAGCGTGTCACGCGTCCGGCTCATTTCTTGTTGCAGGAGCGAGATTGATAAGAGTCGTGTGTGCTGCATGTGAATCATATGATAGCGCCGAGAATCTGACACCCCTGTCACGTGAGCTTGCCTGTCAGGCGGAACCGGCAAGTTCAACATCTTCAGACAAGGTTCAGAATGCGACGGCCTCCCGTGCTCAAGGATGCGCAGGCGCGCCAGGACGGATCTTCCTGGACACAAGATAGAACAAGATAGCCAACATGTCGGACGTGCCGAGCACATGGACTGAGTCTAAAACGCTTGAGCGACCTATAATGACTATAATGACTCATCCCCCTCCCCGAACACTAATTACCTGAACCATCTGAATCCCTTCTCATAGTTCAGATGTAATTGGGAAATTGGTTGGTAGTTCATACTAGGCGGGGGCCCTTTAATGTAATGTAATGTACGTGAACATATGATCTGTGCGGATTGTGCTGTGGCTTTGTCCCCGTGGCCTCATAGATCTCATAGATCTTGCAGTGGTGGGTGCGGGAGGCACTACTGGTGGCCATATCTCCTCCGTCCCTTCGGTTCCTGAGGTTGCTCACGCAGGACAGACGGTTGCACGTATTTCCGGCTGCTGCACGCATCCTGTTTTGATGAATTAGATGATATTGTATACTTTACATTACTAGATTCTATATATATATATATTATAGATATTTATAGATCCAGCAGGCGTGAGGCATAGAGAGAAGCAGATGCATGATATATAATCTGTATAGGAAGATTAGGAAGCGGGGCATGTGGATAGGTGCTGGGCGCAAAGCTCATGATGAATAAAATCCTGGGGACCTGGGGAATGGGGCAGGCCAGCTGGAGTTTATCTGCCAGACCTGTTCCTGGGATGAAATCCTGGGGGCACAGGAAAGGGGTGGGGCCACCGGATTTTATGCTGGGGAGTTTTGGGGTTCTCTGAGCATGCCAGGAGGATGCCACAGGGCCAAGTGTGCCAGAATGAAATCCTGATGACCCAGGAAAGGGGTGGGGCCCCCTGGATTTTATTTTGGGGGGCTTTGGGGGGGCCACCTGGGACTACCATCTGCGAGTGAAACGGGTCAGGGAACCACTCGTGCAGGGTTCAAACAAGGAGAGTGGTTAATAAAATCCAGGTGTCCTGGGCAGGGGCTTGGGCAATCAGGATTTAATCTGCTGGCTTGC